ATAAAGTTGAAGGCAAGTTTTAATGTAATTTAATTAATAAACATTTTTATAAGTTAAAATGTTTATTAGGTTATATAAAGATTTGTCTTGAATTTAGATTTAATTTATAAAAAAATTAGTTTAACTTCAATTTTGAATTTTAAAATTTTAGTTGATTAATTTTAGATTAAAAAAGGTATTGTGATGAATTAATAAATTTATGTATTATGTGACATGTTAGATAAATTGTCAAAAATAAGTAATTTTTTTTTAATAAATAAAATTAAGTCTTCATTACAGTCATAAAAGTTTGTTTAGACAAATTGTTTAGAAAAGCAGACAATATATTTGCTATTAGACATTAGCTATTAGGATTTTATTAATTTGGACTGTGAAAAAAATTTCTAGGCTCCATGTACTATCTAGACTTTAGGTCCTCTTTGAGTTTAGATGGTTTCATTACATCCAATTTACATTTTGTACTAAAATATTGCCAGTTTCTTTTCTGTTTAGAATATTCAATGAAAAATAATAAACAATCATAAAATCTTCTTCTCTCATGGCCAACTCTTGCAATATGTTCAAAAATGAGCAAATATTTTTTAGATGGTAAACCTTTTCTACTATTACTGTTTTTTTTATATATGTTTCACTGCTATTTCGAAAATACTTACGTTAAAAGATTTTGTTAAAAGACTTCAAGCTTTAAACATTTAGATTCATGTTATTTCAGGCCAGGATAATGATTTTTACAACCATCCTGCTACTGGTAACATGTAATCTAATACAACCTTGTCTTATGACCACTGCCTTTGAAGATTTCTTTTACTAGGCAAAATCAAGGAAAATTCAACTTAAAACCAAAAAAACTCTTGTAAGATTGATTTCATCAGCAGCTGTAAAATATTAAAATAATAACAGTACCATGTTGATTATAGAAGGTATCCTTATTAATAGTTTAGATGTGCATTATCAAGGCAATATAAAGAACACTTTTTTGTAACTTTTTTTTGATTAGCAGAAATAAGGCAACAGCATAGCTTACTCATAATAATGAATAGTGCCGAAAAGTGTTTATTAAAAAAACAACAATATCATTACAATCAAAATCTTTCAACCTATCAATTACATATATTTGTGGTCTTTGAAGTAAATTTTCATCCACTGAATGTTACTTTATACAAAATTCATGTGACCTACTTGCTCTTCGTGAAACTAATTTCAATATTGGTTATTTCTTTTTTGACTAAGATTAACTCGCCTGTTTGTTGTTAAATCAGGTTTAAACCCGCTTATTTCATTTTATTAGCTTATTTTTTTGTTTCTTATCATTCTTTTTCTAAAACGCTATTGCATTCTTTTTAATCTTGAGACTGATCTAACTGACCAAGCCCTTCCTCAATATCTCTCACTCATTTAATTACATACTCACATAATGTAGTTATTAGAGACTACATACTTAATGCTGATTTCATAATTCTTCTTCATCAGTTTCACTCTATATTTTTATACTTTTATCTTGTACTTTTACATACTCAGATTCACCCTTTCATTGCACTTTATTGCACTCTACCTTAAGGTTGACTGGAATTCTTTTTGTGATTTTCATTGTAATGGTTATTAACTTGGTTTCTTTTTCCCTTCTGCAAAAAATTGTCTCCTAATATCTCCTGGATTCAGGCAATCATTGAAGCTGTTATACTAACTTCTAAATTTCAAGTTGAGACTTATTCTGTTTTTTTTTTGTGCAACTACTGACTCTAACAGCAATCATTTCTCTTCATAGCAATCATTTCTCTTCATAAGAAAAACTCACTGAAGCATCTTTTTATCATTAGCAAAAAATGTATGCAAAAATTGTCAAAAATTATCTGAGATTATCAGTGAGAGACCCATTTTTCTTATATTACTGAATCTTGTATTTTATCTCAGAAGCTAGTTTTTAGAGATTTTAAAAATCTCATCAACAAAGACAAGTCTAACATTCTTGCATTGCTCTAGTCTTGTTACCTACCAAAAGATAAGATATAACTAATTGCAAAGAACTTTTTCTTTTTTTTTGTTGCAAAGAAACTGATTTATAATGACTATACCATAATGAATACTATTATATTCACATAGTCTAATAACTGTTCTATTTCTATCATTTTAAAAAACAAATTAATCCACCGTTTGACATTTCAAAGAAAAATAGTTAATCCACTGTTAGAATTTCAAAGAAACGAGTTAGTCCATTGTTAAACATTTCAAAAAAACATAAGTCCACTGCTTGACATTTAAACCACTTCAGTTACTAAAGTCATTTCTCACTTAAACTCCTATTTGTCTAGACAACATTTCTGTCAAACTCTTACAAAAGTGTTCTCCAGAATTCTGTTTGTTATTCTCAAAACTATATAATAAGTTTTTATTTAAACTTTGTTTTTATGCTTTCTAGAAAATGGCATCTATGGTTCCAATTTTAAAAAACTCTGAAAATCTTTCTGACTCCTTTAACTATTCTCAAATCAGTCATCTTTCTATAACCTTTTAATTTTTAAATATACTATAATCTTTTATTACATACAATAATCATTGAATTTTTAATTAACAAACATCTAAAATATCATCCTGAGTCTAAGAATTTGTTCTTTGACAATCAATACAAATGTTGGTCCTCTTATTTTACTTGTTAACCCTTATAACAGAATGGTTCTATTGTGTATTAGATGGAATCAGTGAGGCAAGATCTATTGCTTTTGACACATTAAAAGATTATGATAAAGTTTGTCATAATGATCTTCTCAATAAGTTTAAAGTGTTAGCTTTAATATCAAAAACAGTTTGACACATAACTTCATTGATAAGTCTGGGTTCAGCATTATAGTTTAAATTATCTGAAATTAAACCAAAAAAAGAAAAAAATCATCACAATGATTGAAATTACAATGAATGAAATTACAATTAGATAAATAGAGCAATGCTTCTTGCTCCAATGACAACTCTCTTAAAGTGAAATTTAACATTTTTAAGTGCAATTCCTGCCTCATTAACAGATTTCTTTTAATGAGGCAGGAAAATTACCTTATTAAGAGAAATATCTCTCATTTTTTTAGAGATACTTTAGATAAATAGTTCATCTGATGTTGAAGTTCATGAAGTTCACTTCTATCTGATGTTGTCTATCTTTTAAAATCAAATGTTGACTGTTAATTTTTATCTCTGTCAAACTGCTCTTTTGGATCATCATTTTGTGTCAGACAAAAATTTTGGGCAGTTTGTATGCTAAGAGATCTTTTTTATCAATAATTCATTAATTTTTCCAAATACTGACATTTTTTAGTCTTTTTTACTAAGCATTTGCCTTGAATACTCTTCATCACAGTAAAAAAATGTTTTACAAGTTTTGAAATATCCTGATTAATTCAGTTGTATGCAACATCATCATCATTTCTTTAGTCTTTTATCATCAGATTGACCCTTTTATTGCGTTTTATTGCACTCTACCTTAAGGCTGACTGGAATTCATCAAAGAATGCAATAATGCCTTTTTGATTGCATAACAACTTTACCCTTTTGAATTTATCTTTTTGAAACTAAAACTTTTTATTTTTTTAGCTTTTTTTACCATAATTTTAAGGTCTAAGGCAAAATTTAAAAATCAAATTCTTTTTTTTTTTAAACTTAATGTTGTTTGGTACAATAAAACTGTTTTTTGTGACATTCAGAACAGTTTTAATTTTTTATTATGTGCTTCTTTAAGAAGTCTATATTGTCAGCTTTGGTTTGATTTTCTTTTTGAACTTTAAAGTTATTTCATGCAACAAGGTCAAATTAAGTGACATCCAGAACAGTGGCAATTTTCTTCATAACTGTTCTTCAACATGTTTTTATTATTTTCCTTTTCAAATGAAAAACTGTCAAAAAAATAAAATAAATTATTATATTAAACTGATTTCTTGGAGGGGGCGTTTGAGCTTGAAAAAAATTTCACTTCTGCTACAGAGCGGGGTTCTCAGTAGCTGGTGAACTTTAACTCAGATAAAACTCAATTTTTTTCAGCTAATCGTTATTGCAATAATTTAGATCATCCTATATTTATGAATGGTAATGTACTCAATGAGTCATCTACCCATCATCTTCTAGAATTAATTCTTACTTCCAATCTTTCTTGGAAACCATATATCAAATTGATTGCAAAACTAGCATTTGCTAAGGTTGTATCTTATTATAGTGCTTGCCACTTTCTTACTCCCAATTTTGTTCTTTATTTCTATAAATCTAAAATCCATCCTTTATAAATACTCTTACATATCTGATTTTCCAATGATACCATTTTTCTTTTAGACAATGTGCAAAAGCGCATTATAAACATAGTTGGACCTGTTCTTACAGCCAACTTCTAACTATTATCACATTGTTATAATGTTGTCTTTCTCATTTTCTAAAAATATAATAATGGGCACTGCTCTAAAAAGCTAGCATCTCTTGTGCTATCTATTAAAATTCATCCTTGTGTTACTCATCATTAAATTAAGTCTCATCCTTTTACTGTGACTGTTCCTCTAAAAAGTACTAAGTAAATAAGTCCAAAAATATTTATTTGTCTAAATTTTTCCTTGAACGTTGGTCCTTTAGAATTTGCTTCCTTTATCTTGTTTCCTGATTCATATAATTGCAATATTTGAAGTCGCCTGTCAACTGTTATCTTGCTCAATAAACTTCATCTTTTCTCTTCCAGTAATTTCTAACTCTAACAGTGTTTGCTTACAGCCTTGTTGGAAGTGAAGTTGTTTAATTGTAAAAAAAAAAAAAAAAAGCTATCGTTCTTATAATCTAAAAAAAACAAGGATAATTTTTCTTTTTGGATGTGTAAGTACAATTGTTACTGCTGTTTAAACACAGCAATACTCAATTAAATATATTTAGTTTAACTTACATAATAAAACAATTGTTTCACATAATAATAAAATAATATGTTTCACTGCATAATAAAAAACAATTTTTTACTTAAATTACAAAAATTAGTATATTACACTTACATGATAAGCAAAAATGTATCCAGGAGTTAAATTAGTGAAACAATAAGATAAAGTAGACTAAAAAAAAAATCAACAAGTTTGAAAAAATCAAAGTTTGAAATTGAATAAAAAATGAAATATTACTTTAAATCATAATATTTGTAATCTCTTAATGTTATTCTTAATTCTAATAAAGGAAAACCAAAAAAAAAAAAAAAATAAAAGAAAGTTAAACTACATTCGAAAGTGTGATAATAGTATATTGCTCCTGAGGTATAGGTCTACTTGACCAGTTTGAAAACAGTCCGTATGCAATTTGATACTTTGCTATTGGGACTAAAGGTTGAGTTGGATTCCATGATACTGTAACATTGTAAAATGGACGAGTAGAATTACTATCCAACATCTTCACATAGTATAATACAATGTTAGAAGTTTGGTTTATTGGTCCAGGATAAGGGTCTAAATATTAAAGTATATTTTTCTTTTTAAATAAATTTTTTTATTTTAAAAACAATATTAAATTCAGTTATTTGTGCTTGTAAGGGTGAAACTGGTACCATTAATGAGCTGGTTACTTTTTATAAATTTTATTATTTATAACAGTCAAGTATTGTAGATTTATAACAGTCAAGTACTGTAGATATGATTAATTAAGGATGAACCTTAATTACAGAAGTTTTAATAAAATATTGGAACATAATTTGGAATCATTATTTTTTTGGATAAATAAAAGTGTGTACAAACCAAACATAATTATGTGAAAAAAATAATACAGTCACAATCAAAAGTTTGAAACATTAAAAAAAAAACAATATTCTTTAAATTATTTATTTATTATATCAAAACGCAATGTTTTACAGTCAAAAGCAAACATTTGGGGTTATGCTGTTGACAAGACAGGAGTCAAATGCTTGTAGAACAACAACCAAAATATTTAAAAAATAATTTATCACTAAATATTAAATCCTCTCAACCTTCTGGTGTCCTTGTATATCTGGCAGAATTCCATATGATCTTTTACATATTTCTGATAAAGACAAGGTTTTTTTGCTGAAAACATGGTTTTTAAATAAAATTGTTTGCATAAACCTCTTCAAATTGTCACAATACTTAGTGCAAAACCAAGAGAAAGTACTTCAATTGAAATTTCAGCACTGGGACATGGATTTGCTTTGGCATAACAATGAATGCAATAATCTGCCTTTTGAGTAGTCATATTTGGTCATTCAGTTCCTGTTTTACTTTTCAAGCTACAAGTTTTATGATATGGTTTCAATGTTTTCATGATGCAGCTATGCATTACATTGAAAGGTGCAGCAATAGCAGTCAGTGTCAATCCTTGTTCACACAGAATAGCAATCTGAGCATGCTTTGTTGTTATTTATTTGTTTTTGCAATAAATATTATTTTACTTTTTCACTAAAATAATAACAAGGTATTGAAGTCTATTATTAAAAAATTAACAAAAAATAAACTAAAATAACAAAACAAAGTACAAGTTAAAAACTACTTACACTATATTGTGCAATGTTCTTTTTAAGCAATTTATTTAATTTTTAGTAAATTTCTATAATTAACCATTTTTAAAGTAGATAAAAGTAACTTTATGTAAAATAAGATTTTAAAATAATAAAATGCAACTTATGTAAAAGTAACAAACTACAATAGTAATACTTATTAGGGTTGTTCGCCGAAAAACAAAACTTGCGAAAATTTCGCATTTTTATCTACCGTAATAGAATTGTTATTGCGGAAGTTGCACATGCAAAAATGCACATTCCGTAACGCGCTAAACGAAAATATAAATAGTAAATAAAATTCCGTAATAAAGCATTGCGAAAGAAAACTTGCAAAACAAATCATTTCGTAAGAATACTTACGAAATAGTTCATTACGGAAAAAGCATTCCGAAATGTGTAGTTACGAAAAAGACGCAAAAGATTTTATGTTACGATATATTTAAGATATTAACTGTTAACAGTTTAAATAATAAATAATAAAATTATAAAAAAATATTGTCAAATGATTCTTCAAATGTTTATACAAATATACCTAATATATATATATATATATATATATATATATATATATATATATATATATGTATATATATATATATATATATATATATATATATATATATAAATATATATATATATATATATATATATATATATATATATTTATATATATATATATATATATATATATATATATATATATATATATATATATATATATATATATATATATATATATGTATATATATATATATATATATATATATATATATATATATATATATATATATATATATATATATATATGTATATATATATATATATATATATGTATATATATATATATATATATATATATATATATATATATATATATATGTATGTATATAAATATATACATATATATACAGTAAAATCCCGTTAAGTTGGACTCTCAATGAACGAATAAACAGTATGCCTTTTTTTTAAAAAAGTATAAAGAGGATGTGTGATAAACAATTAAATACTTTATTATAAAGAACGAGAGATCTCTCTAAAGGTAAATGATATCAGAAAGAGTAAAAAGAGAAGAAATATATGTGAAGCAGCGGGATGTGAACCTGGGTCTACGCGGCCAAATGTCTTAACTGAATGAGCTATACATTCATTCAACTAAGTGAATAGTAATATTTATTTATTATATAATTAAGAAACTATATAAAACAGAATTTACAGAAAGAGATATGTATGCAAATAGGATTCTATATACCAGGAAAATGAATAGTAATGTGAACAATTAGATGCTTATAATTAATATCTGGACTCAAAAACTAGTTACTTTTAATGGAACACAATAGGCTGTAGGAGCCTCAGGGAAATTATATTCAGAAATGGTTATATTAGACTCAGAGTTAGCTAGAAATTATTACAAAGTATTTAGGACAGATGTCTAGTACAAAAAGCAAAAGATTTAAAGCAAAATGATTTATATTATTTGAAAAAGTTGTTTTACGTACATTTCATCATAATTTAAGTAGAACTTAGTAAAGCAAGGGAAACGTGTTGAATTAAGCACAATGAACTCAATCTTAAAAGAATAACTAACAGAAGAGAGGTTGTCACTATTGTGAAGGTGACGAAAGATCTGTAATATAGAACATGGAGGTCAAAAAATGCTATCTTAAGTAAAAAGAATTTGATGAACAAAAGTTACAATGGCTGCGGGATGCGAACCCGGATCTCTGCGGCGAATTATCACGTATCTAACTGATTGAACTATACAATCTTATACTCAAATTTATATCTTATTAAAATTAAAAAACAATATTTTAAGCGTATTCAAACAGGACTCTACATACCTTTAAAATCTGCTAGAACTTTAGTAACGTGCACACTTTTAGAAATTATTGAAATAGGTATATTTTATCAGAAATATGCTTAAGCTAAAGCATATTTTTGAGCTTCTTTTTACTATTTGCTTAAGCATTTTCGAACCTGTTTCAAAAATTTCATATGCTTTAAAAAAAAAACATGTATATTCCTACCCATCATTCTTATTTTTAATATACGTAATGAGTTCAAAAAACATCGTTGTATATATTTATTATGGCACGTTTCGTAAGTTTATTTCCGTTAAGAATTCTTTCGTATGTTGTGATCCGAAATACTTTCGTTTCGAAAGAAATTTTATTTTTTATCAATATTTCTAAAAATAAAACCATAAAAATTTAATAGTTATTATACTGAAAATAAAAATTCATTATAAACATTTTGGGATTTAAAGATGTTAATTTTTACAATTAAAATCAGTCTGGCAAACAAATTTTCTTTATAGACTTCAAAACGTGGTTTGGCGAAAATGTTTGTTTCGCAAGTGCGACTTCCGAAACCGCTACTTTTGTATGTTGCAAAATAGTTTTGTTGCGAAATGCTAAATTTCGGAAGTGGCTTTTGCGAAATGAACATCGGCGATTTTAAATGTTTTGTAACATTCGGTACGAAAAAATGTAATTCCGTGTTCTCAATCTCCTTACGAAAGAATGTTGTTTTTCCGGAATTGCACGAAATCCTCCGGTTAACAACCTTAACACTAATTACTTCTTTTTATCTTTCTTTAATTTATGCTTTTGTAAACAAGATATTGTTAATTTTTTTCTTTTATAATCTTTCTACTTTTTTTTTTTCTAAACTTTTTTCTGATATATTTTTTTTCATTATTTTTTTCTTTTTTAATTTTATCTACCTGTTTATTAATTTATGTATTTTTTAAAACAAAAAACAAAATTCAAAAAGAAAAATCAAAAAAATTATCTGCTTAGAAATGGTACTGCATTTCATCTTTATTCATTGTTTAATTATTTGAAGCATTATGTAGTTTAAAGTAACTTTAAAAAAAACAAAACTTTTAAAGACAATTTTAACATAACTTTTCAAAAATTAAAAAGCGATTCTCTAGTTTGGGAGTATATTATTATAATTATCATCATTATCATTATTGCTATTATTATTATTATTATTATTATTATTATTACTATTATTATTAATATTATTATTATTATTATTATTATTATTATTATTATTATTATTATTATTATTATTATATATATATATATATATATATATATATATATATATATATATATATATATATATATATATATATATATATATATATATATATGTATATATACACACATATATATATACATATATACATATATACATATATATATATATAAATATATATATAATATATATATATATATATATATATATATATATATATATATATATATATATATATATATATATATATATATATATATATATACATACATATAAGAAAAATTTATTTTAAAAAGTGAATACTTTTAAGAAGTAATTAAAAAGATAATATTCTTCTACAGACCTATTTTTTATTGCAGGAATATACTAGTTCTAATGGGAGATGCATAGGTGTTGTAAATAAAACTTACCATGTTTTATTGTATTGAAAAAATAATATATACTACCATTTTCTGTGTTTCTAGTGTGATGTTTATGTATTCATTTGTTTAACAAAAAACTTGAAAAAAGAGTTTGGTAGTTTATTTCGAAGAAATTCAAATACAGTTGGACAATTAAGATAAAAGATTGTATATGTATAAAAATGCAAAGTAGTACTGCTAATGATATGTCTAGTTTATAAATAAACATAAAACATAAGAAAAATAACTAAAAAAAAATTATTTTTCTTATGTTTAAAAAAAAAATTAACTTAAAAAATGTAATGCAAAGCCTTTAAATATAAAGCAAAAAATATATTTGGAATCATAATTTTACTGTTTAAAGTTCAATTTTACTGTTTAAAGAATCTAATTTTCCTGTTTAAAGTTCATTCCAAAAAAATACCAAATATTCTGTTTAAACAAAGGTTATGATTGTCACTATATGAAGAAATAACATGGACTTTTGGAACTA